CACTGACACATCTTACTGAATGTGCTCAGCAATCCAGGACTTTGTGTATTTGGCTCCCTTTTGCCCTAGTACTAGCTCAGATTTAAGTCCCCCAGCCCCAGCAACACTAACCAAACTACTATTTTATTAAATACCAATTTCTTAAATTGTTTTCTTGTTTATCTTAGCAGTTAAAATGGCAGCTCTATGCAAACAGGGACTGTTTAGTCTGAATTACTGTTTTCCCAGTGTGTGGCACCTAGTAGGGGTTGAGAAAATATTTGTCAGAAGGCTGGCAAACTATCTTCAGCATACCGAGGGCTGCTCCAATGGTCTGTTGATGCTTTTTTCTTACTGCAGAAACATCGTTTCTGACATAGGCCATGGAGAGTTGCCACCATTAAGCCTTTGGGGGTTGTGAGAACTTTGGCTTCAAAGACAAATGTTTTTCCACGAGGAAATATTGAAAAAAAGTTTTTTCTTTTGAGACAGAGTCTCATTCTTTTGCCTGGGCTAGAGTGCCATGACGTCAGCCTGGCTCACAAAAACCTCAAACTCCTAGGCTCAAGTGATCCTCCTGCCTCAGCCTCCTGAGTAGCTGGGACTATAGGCATGGGTCACCATGCCTGGCTAATTTTTTTTCTCTATATATTTTTTGTTGTCTAGCTCATTTCTTTCTATTTTTAATAGAGATGGGGTCTCACTCTTGCTCAGGCTGATCTCGAACTCCTGAGCTCAAACAATCCACCCACCTCGGCCTCCCAGAGTGTGCTAGGATTTATATATATATAATTTTTTTTTTTTTTTTGAGACAGAGTCTCACTATATTGCCCCAGCTAGAGTGCTGTGGTGTCAGTCCAGCCCACAGCAACCTCAAACTCCTGGGCTCAAGGGATCCTTCTGTCTCAGCCTCCCAAGTAGCTGAGACTGTAGGCGTGTGCCACCATACCCGGCTAATTTTTTCTATTTTTGGTAGAGACAGGGTCTCGTTCTTGCCCAGGCTGGCCTTGAACTCCCGACCTTGAGTGATCCTCCCGCCTCAGCCTCCCAGAGTGCTAGGATTACAGGTGTAAGCCACCACGCCTGGCCGGAAATGTTGAAGTTTAAGTTATGACCTCATGTCCTAACCCCCACTTTGACCCATTTAGGAGGAAACGTCCAGGGATGAGATTAAGTGAATGAGGATTCATGTCTCCATTCCAATTACACCTCAGCTCCACGGCCCCTCCCATTTCACCATCTGGCCTTGATTCTCAGCATACCGGTGTCACCCCAAACCCTTAGGCTCCCCTCAAATCATGCTCCACTTTGTCCCCTGAAGTTGGGCCCAGCTCCAGCTTTTAGTTCAGCCTGTGATAGTAATGAAAAGCAGACATGGCCAATGTGGCCCAGGGCTTTCCTTTGCATTTCTAAACTCTGGGAAGCAAATAAGCAGGAGGTGTATTAAGGAAGGATGAGTCTGGAAGATACATGGTCCCTGCCTGTTTCTTCCACCATTGGAGTCACTATGGTGATGCATATTATCCTCAAAAAAGCTCTGGCTTTTCTGTCCAAATCTGTTTTAGTTGTTCATTTATCTGGGACCCTCAACTGTTACTCTGACAGTAAAATATCCCTGAATCCTGTTATAGTGAATGGGACTTGTCCTCCATGGGCTAGAGCTTCTTTTCTAGATGTCATGATGATAACCAAGGTCACTCACAACCTCTAGGAGCTGCTTCTGGTGACTTGATCCCACCAGACCTGAGACCCTTCTTTCCCCCACCCACTGACCTGCCATTCATGCAGATAAATCTGCCCCTTTCTCTCCAGGCTCCTGAGAAACTGAAAGTACCTTCTGTCATCAGCTTGTTCAAAATTCATTTTTAGGCTAGACATAGTGGTTCACGCCTGTAATCCCAGCACTTTGTCAGTCCAAGGTGGGAGCACTTGAGGCCAAGAGTTCAAAATCAGGCAACACAGTGAAACCCCATCTCTACAAAAAGAAAAAAAAAGCCAGTCGTGGTGGCACACACCTGTAGTTCTAGCTACTTAGGAGGCTGAGGCAGGAGAATCCCCTGAGCCCAGGAGTTCGAGGCAGCAGTGAGCTATGATCCTGCCAGTGTACTCCAGCCTGGGTGACAGAATGAGACCCTGTCTAAAAAAATAAAAGAAAGAAAAAAAAGAAAAATCCAACCACTTTTAATCTAATAGAAGCATATAAATGTTAAAAAAAAAAAAAGAAGGAAACATGCAAAGCATGTAACAAATGCAAGAGGTGGCTGTGGTCATTCTAATTCAAATGGCTTCTGCACTAGAACTATCTCGGGCTGGAAGATGTGTTACTGGGAAAAGTTTTTAAAACAACTAACAGCCAGGCACAGTGGCTCACGCCTGTAATCCCAGCACTTTGGGAGGCCAAGGCAAGAGGATCCTTTGAGGCCAGGAGTTGGAGACCAGCCTGGCCAACATAGCAAAACCATGTCGCTACAAAAAAAAAAAAAAAAAAAGAAAGAAAGAAAGAATGTCAGTTGGGCATGGTGGCATGAGCCTGTAAAATCCTAGCTACTTGGGAGGCTGAGGCAGGAGGATTGCTTGAGCCCAGGAGTTGGAGGATACAGTTAGCTATGGTCACACCACTGTGAGCTATGATCATGCCACAGTATTTCAGCTTGGGCAGCAGAGTACCTCATCTCTTAAAAAACAACAAAAAAACACTAACAATAGTCAACATTAACTGGGTATTTCCTCTGTTGCAGATGCTAGTGTAAGTTTCACAAGCATTAACTCATTTAGTCTTCACAATAACACTATGATACAGCTGTTTTCCAAATAAGACTGAGTCACAGACAGGTTATGTGACTTGCCTGAGACTACACAGTTCATAGTGGCCAAGTTATACCACCTTCTGAAATGTACTGCCTCTCGAGATAATATCAAATGTTCATACAACAGATGTTATAACTCTTCATGTACATTAATATCTAATTTATACTTATAACAACCCTATTTTATCTAGTATCTTATGCCTTATAGGATGAGATTTTTTAAATAATTTTTGAAATTTTAATATATGAATATTGTGAAAGCAACAACAAAAGAATTAATTCCAGTGGTCAGACAGTATATCTCCCAGGCATCCCTGACTCTCCTGTGATTTCCTCCCATCATGTTTCCTTGCAAGCGGAATGGTGGGATGAAGGGGCGGGACTCTGTTGAGGGAGGGTGAAAGTGAATGGAAAAGGTATTTATCACAGCACCCCTTATGGTGAAAAAAGAGCATGGAAATAAACCCAATGGTGATCATAAACAGGAGACTAGTTCAATAAAATGTCACCCTTGAACTCCCTAGGCTTCAGAGCTCCTCATCTGTAAAATGTGGGTAGTATTATAAAAGGACCCACAACATTCAGTTATTAAGATTAAATGGGGGCCTGTAAATCCCAGCACTTTAGGGAGGTCAGGAGTTTGAGACCAGCCTGAGCAAGAACAAGACCCTGTCTCTACTAAAAATAGAAAAATTAGCTGGGTGTGGTGGCTCGTTCCTGTGACCCAACTATTCGGGAGGCTGAGGCAGAGGCAGGAGAATCGCTTAAGCCCAGGAGTTTGAGGTTGTAGTAAAGTATGATGATGCCACTGCACTCTAGCTGGAGCAACAGAATGAGACCCTGCCTAAAAAAAAAAAAAAGATTGAATGGATTAATATATGTAAATCACCTTGAACAGTGCCCAGCACATTGTCCAATAAATGTTAGTCTTTTTTGATAAGGCTACACGTTTGTGCAGTGAAATAGAGTTTATTCTTTAGCAATCATGTTACAGAAGGGTATTTAATATCATGAAAAGACACTGATAGGCCAGGCATGGTGGCTCACGCCTGTAATCCTAGCACTCTGGGAGGCTGAGGCAGGCGGATTGCTCCAGGTCAGGAGTTCAAACCAGCCTGAGCAAGAGCGAGACCCCATCTCTACTATAAATAAAAAGAAATTAATTGGCCAACTAATATATATAGAAAAAATTAGCTGGGCATGGTGGCGCATGCCTGTAGTCCCAGCTACTTGGGAGGCTGAGGCAGCAGGATTGCTTGAGCCCAGGAGATTGAGGTTGCTTTGAGCTAGGCTGACCCCACAGCACTCACTCTAGCCAGGGCAACAAAGCGAGACTCTGTCTCAAAAAAAAAAAAAAAAGACACTGATAGCTTAATTACATGGACAAGGGAGGTGCTGAATGAATACAATACAGTGTGATCTATTTTTGTTAGAACACAGTAAAAGGGTAATGTGTCTCTTCATTTCAGGTGGCCTTAAAACATTGTTCAGTTGATTGTATTTGTTATGAAAATAGTGTGGATAATTAACAGTTTTGAAAATTGTGTCGGTATTAAGATGCGATAGGAAACTACTAAACCTTATATTTCAACCTTGTAAATTCTGTTTATCCTGATAAACCATTTGAAATGCAGCTTCCTGTTGGAAGTTGAAATAAAGATGATTATGATAGCCTTTTGGATCCAACCCTTAAAGCTTATTTTGCCTAAATATATCTTCTGCCTTTAAGAGACTCAAGCCTCGAGCTTTCTGGCGGCATCCAACTCCAACCACTCCCAGTCATGCACACACAACCGGCTCTTCACATCGCAGGGGTGTCCAGAGGCCCATCAGTCACTCTAAGGACTGGAGAACTTTTCAGGCGTCTCTGCATGTATGATTTTTTCTTATTCTACTATTCAAGTTTTGCTTGGACAAGATTATGCTGCTAAAAAGTGGCCTACACCACTCTTTCAAAAGAAAGTCGTGTTTCTTCTCTTTTTTCTTAAAAGTCATATTTCTGATTTCTAGGGAGTAATTTGTAGACTCACGCTTGTCCCTGTGGCCCTTAGACATAACCCTTGTGTATACAAAAAGTACCATTAGGGAGTGGGTAGAACTCAAGGGGTGGAGCCTCCGTTCCCGTGTCGGAAGCTACTGTCTCTCAGTGCGCCTGAGAGACTCCCACGCCCTGCAAAGGCTTCCTATCGATTCGCTCTGCGCTCGGCAGTTCTTTCTGATAGCAGGCGGCCATCTTGCCTGGAGCCTGAGAAAGGGAGGAGACAGAAGGAACAGGAGTCTCAGTGTCGCCCCGGGGGCCTCAAGAGCCGGAGGCAGCCCCGGAGGTGGTCCCCGATCCCGGGCTATGCCCTTGGACCTGAGAAGGGAAGGCGGAGGGCGGCGGGGACAAGATGGGTGGGGAATGTCAAGCAAGGATTGCTAGCCGGGGGAGGGGCGTTGCCATGGCGACCGGGGGGGGCGGTGTCCGGTCTGAATCGCTGCTGTGTGTTACCCAGACGCTGCCCAGAAAGGGCAGGGCTGGGGTGATGACCATGGTAACAGCCGGGTGGGATTTCGCCACATCCCCGCCGCGGAGGGATTCGGTGTCTATGGCAATGGTGGCTTGGCGAAAGGGGCGGAACTAGATCCCTTCGCTTGGAACGCTGACATTTTAGGCCCTTGTCCTGCAGGCTCCCACGGGCGGATACGCCAGAGGAGGAGGCCGGGGAATGGCCGCGGTGTGGCAGCAAGTCCTAGCAGTGGACGCGAGGTGAGGCGTGGGGTCGAAGCCCATGGGAATGGACCTTAACTGTGGTGCATGCGCAATGGCGATAAGTGAGGCTGGGCGGAGAACTTGTCTTACGTGGTTGTGTGGCATGCTCAAGGTGAGCATGTGCAGTAGCAGGGTGTTGGGGCACACCCTCAGTGAGATGGCCAGGCCAGAGAGGGTTCAAAAGAGCATGCTGGGACAGTGCGGTCAGATGTGGGCATGCGCAAGCATGCTGCCTTTGGGATGGGAAGTGGAGTTCAGCCTGGTGACATCCTGGCCCCCAGGGGTGCTCCACAGACTTTTCTTACAGTCATCCCTTTGCCTTTCTGACCCTATCACCACCGCACACTGACCCCCATTGTCATGTCAGTCATACTTCTATCACCATGCTAGCCTGACCTCAGTTATTGTCTGCACTGACTCAGTCACCCCATACCAACCCCAGCAGAGCTACAGACTTACTCCATTGTCCCCTTACTGACCTCATCAGTATGCTCATTATTACTGCAGAATCACCCCCATCACCACTGCTGATCACTCTTGCCACCCTAACCCTAATTACTGCCACACACCTCATTCTCCTGCCCTATCCCTTCAGCTGATTGATTCCCTCTGTCCTGTGCTGCTGCCTGCCCCACTTCCTGACCCCGCAGGTACAACGCATACCGCACACCAACGTTTCCACAGTTTCGGACCCAGTATATCCGCCGGCGCAGCCAGCTGCTGCGGGAGAATGCCAAGGCTGGGCACCCCCCAGCGCTGCGTCGGCAGTACCTGAGGCTTCGGGGGCAGCTGTTGGGCCAGCGCTACGGGCCCCTCTCCGAGCCAGGCAGTGCTCGTGCTTATAGCAACAGCATCGTCCGCAGTAGCCGCACTACCCTTGACCGCATGGAGGTGAGCTCCTGGCCACACCAGCCACTGTGCACACCACTTACCTCCACACATTCACTTTATAGACTTTTCTCAAGCACCTGCTGTGTTTTGGGCTCTGTTCCAGGCTCTTAGCATCAGAGGACAAAAGTAAACCAATAGAGCCAAATAAGTCAATAAACAGACAATAAACTTGATAAACAGGTCCATAAACATATAGGAAGCATATCTTGAGTGTATACAGGGTGGGAACAGCAAGACTAGTAAAGAAACCGCTACAGCAGTGTGTGGGAGCAGTGATCCCGGTGGCAGGGGACTCAGTGAGAGGGTATCTGGTTCTGGGTCGATTTTGAAGGCTCCACACCTCAAAAGTTCTCAGGGACTGTTTTCAAGATGTGCCTACCCTGACCTATCCATTTGCAGGACTTTGAGGATGATCCTCGGGCTCTGGGGGCCCGTGGGCACCGCCGTTCTGTCAGCCGTGGCTCCTACCAGCTGCAGGCACAGATGAACCGTGCCGTCTATGAGGACAGGTATGCCCCAGAGGCAGCAGAGGGCTGGGGGGTTTGTGAGGAGGAGAGGGACCATGGGGCAGTGGCAGGCCAAACACTTCTACCTACTGTTATCCCTCGTTTCCTATTGGGGCCCAGGCCCCCTGGCAGCGTGGTACCCACGTCAGCGGCAGAGGCTAGTCGTGCCATGGCTGGGGACACGTCACTGAGTGAGAACTACGCCTTCGCGGGCATGTACCATGTTTTTGACCAGCACGTGGATGAGGCAGGTGAGCCAGTGGGTGGCAGGTCCCATCACCAAGTGTTTGCCCAAACTGTGGCAGCCACCCAACATATCCTTTCCCAAATGCAGTCCCCTGGCATACCTCTGAAGGAGGAATTACCATCTGTAAAGCCTTTTACAAATTCAAAAGCTCTCTACAAAGTGGTCTGCAAAGTCCCTGTACTTTATATACTGTAAAGGGCCTCAGAAGCTTAAGAGAGCACTTTGCAGCAGGTTTCCTGGGTTCACGGTTGCTTGGAAGATTTCAAAGCCTTTGCTGATAGTAAATCCCCTTGCAGAGGGCAGAGTGAGCTTTAGAGTCTCCAGGGCTTTCAAAACTGCCAAGACCTTGGTGATTGTAAAGTGCTTGTTAAGACGTAGAAGCTTTTCCACATTGCAGAAGACTTTTGCAGTCTGCAGAATAGCTGCTGTGATTTAGAGGGGGGCTTTTGGCAGAGGGCCTTCTGGGGTTACAGCAACCTTTGCCAGCCAAGGAAAGCCCTTTGTTGAGGCCACAGTACCTCATGCAGTGGGCCCCAGCCCCTGTCACACATGGCCTTTTATAAATGAAAGTGCTCAGTGACTGTGTTGACTCCCACAAATGGCTCCTTGGCCTTGCAGTCCCAAGGGTGCGATTCGCCAATGACGACCGGCACCGCCTGGCCTGCTGCTCACTCGATGGCAGCATCTCCCTGTGCCAGCTGGTGCCTGCCCCACCCACCGTGCTCCGAGTGCTGCGGGGCCACACCCGTGGTGTCTCCGACTTCGCATGGTCCCTCTCCAATGACATCCTTGTGTCCACCTCACTCGACGCCACCATGCGCATCTGGGCTTCTGAGGACGGCCGCTGCATCCGGGAGATCCCTGACCCTGATGGCGCTGAACTGCTCTGCTGCACCTTCCAGCCCGTCAACAACAACCTCACTGTGGTCAGGCTCCAGGGCACCCGCTCACCAAGGGCGGGCATGCCGGGTCAGGAGGGCTCAGGGAGTCAGAGTACAAGTATGGGATGGCCTAGGGAATCTGGCACCCCCCCCAGGCCCATCACAGCAGTCCTACTGTGGTCAGACTCAAAGGGAACTAGTCAGAGGACAGGGGAATGCAGTTCTTGTTCTGGGCTGGCTTTGCTGTGGTAGACTTCAGGGGAACACTGGTTGGAGGTAGTGGTCCTATCCACCACCATCCTACTGCAGGATGATGAGGCTGAAACCTCATCTGGTCTATCAGTAGCAGCTCCACTATGGTCAGACTCCAGGAGAGATTGGTCAGAGAGCAGGGGAAGGAAATTAAAAATCCAGCATGGCCTAGGGTGGGGTGAGGGAGAAGTACAGGGGAACTGGCCAAGGGCATGTTTGTGGTTGAGGACCCTTCCCATGTCAGCAGCAGCCCCACAGGCTCCGGGCAGGAGCAGCCAGGAAGCAGAGGAAAGCTATTGTTAGAGGCCTGGGATAGCCCTGTGGTTTTCAGACTGCAGGGGACTGGCTGGGAGGCAGCATTATGGCTCTGAGACCCCTTCACTCCCATGAGCAGCTGTCCTACTCTCGGCAAATTGCAAGAGGGGTTGGCTTGGGAGGAGGATTACATGCCTGGGTCACCTTCTCATCTGCCTGCTGCAGCCCCACTGTGAGTAGAGATTAGCCAGTCCTGTGAACAGCAGCCCTATTGTGGTGAGACTAAAGGAGGGACTGGCTAGGAGCAGGATGATGGTGTGTGCATTCTACCTGCAGGTGGGAAATGCCAAGCACAACGTGCATGTCATGAACATCTCCACGGGCAAGAAAGTGAAGGGTGGCTCCAGCAAGCTGACAGGCCGTGTCCTCGCCCTGTCCTTTGATGCCCCTGGCCGGCTTCTCTGGGCAGGTGATGACCGCGGCAGTGTCTTCTCCTTCCTCTTTGACATGGCCACAGGTAGGCAGGCTATGGGCCTGCATCTGGGCACTCACCCTCCAGGGCTCCAGGGCCCAGCACACACCCTTACCTTTGCCTCCCTCCCTTCGCTGCTGCAGGGAAGCTGACCAAAGCCAAGCGTTTGGTGGTGCATGAAGGTAGCCCTGTGACTAGCATCTCAGCCCGGTCCTGGGTCAGTCGTGAGGCCCGGGACCCCTCGCTGCTTATCAATGCTTGCCTCAACAAGCTGCTGCTCTACAGGTGGGTCCCCCCATCAGGGCTACCTGGATAGAGGGCCTGCCTCCTTCAGCAGACTAGACAGGAGGTGGTCTCTTCCATCAGATTAATTTCACCTAGGGATCAGTAGAGCAGTAATAACAATAGCAGTAGAGAGCACTTATCTAGCAATTGCCATGGCCAGGCCCTCTTCACAGCACCTTCTACATATCACTTCATTTAATCTTCACACCAGCCTGTGAGGTAGGTGCTATTATTATCTTCACTATGCAGTTGAGCAAACTGAGGCAGAAAATAGACTAGGGCCCCCTTAGAGCAGAGGCCTGTTTTCTTCCTTCCTTTCTTTTTTTAGGGGGGTGGGTTTAGTTTGGGAGGGGTTACTGTCCCCACTTATATCTGTCATGGTACCCAAGTACAGTTCTCAGCCTGGGCCATGCACTGAAATGACCTGAAGAGCTTCAAGAAATCCTGCCCCAGGGCTGGGCACAGTGGCTCACACCTGTAATCCTAGCAGTCTGGGAGGCCGAGGTAGGAAGATCACTTGAGCTCAGGAGTTCAAGACCAGCCTGAGCAAGAGCGAGACCCCACGTCTATAAAAAGTAGAAAAAATTAGCCGGGCATGGTGGCACGTGCCTGTAGTCCCAGCTACTCGGGAGGCTGAGACAGGAGGATTGCTTGAACCCAGGAGTTTGAGGTTGCTGGGAGGTATGGTGACGCCATGGCGCTCTAGCCCAGGTGACAGAACAAGACTCTATTTCAAAAAAAAGAAAAATCCTGCCCAGGCCCCACTGCAGGCCAGCAGTTTTAGAAGCTTTGGGATGGGCCTAGGCTTTGGTATATTGAAATATTCCCTAAGTGATGGCCAGTCAGGCCTGAAAACCACTATCCAATAGGATGCTTTTATTGTACTATTTTATTTCTCTTCTCCTTTTTAAAAAATTAATTTATATATATATGTATATATATATTTTTAAATTTTTTAAGTATACTCTTAAGTTTTTGCCCATTTCTCCCTTCTCTCCTTCCTCCTGCCACCTCAGGCCTCCTCCTGCCACTGTAAAGCATGTGGACATTATGTATTTTTTATATTTCATTTTCTCTTCATGAATCATAGGCATGCACACGTACCCACACAATTTTTGGCGGGGGCATGTTTTACAGAAACAGGCTCCTCCTACATCCTCTTCCACATCTCATGTTTCTCACCAGACAAAGCCCCATGGAACTCCATCCCCCAGGTCACCCACAGGAGCTGTGGTTCATTCCCTTTAATGGCTGTGCAGTTTTCCACAGTGCAGGTGTACCATGGGGTGTTCCTTTCCTCTCTTTGTGCCCGTCTTTAGACCACAATCTTTTAGACATCTTAGAAAGAAAAACTAGTGAATGAAACTTCAGAATTTCTGAATTGTCACCAACTCACACATGAGCTCATATTTACAGATTTATGTGGTCATCTCCATACTGGATTTCTGTCAGGCACGGTGGCTCATGCCTGTAATCCCAACACTGTGGGAGCCTGAGGTGGGAGGATCGCTTGAGGCCAGGAGTTTAAAACCGGCCTGGACAACATAGTGAGACCCAGTCTTTAAAAAACTGGATTTCATGAACCTTGAAAAGAACTCAGGCACAGGGGTGGGGACACAGACTAGCCTACCACTGGTCCCCCTTTTGGGACTGAAGCTGTGCTGTAACCCACTCTCTTGTCGTCCCCTTAGGGTGGTGGACAACGAGGGAACCCTGCAGCTGAAGAGAAGCTTCCCCATTGAGCAGAGCTCACATCCTGTGCGCAGCATCTTCTGCCCCCTCATGTCCTTCCGCCAGGGGGCCTGTGTGGGTGAGTCCCATAGGGACAGGGGTCTGGGCAGCTGGGGAAGGGCAGGGACTGGAGCTGGTGCCCATCTAGCACTCATCTGAGCACTAGCTCAGATATCATGACACCCTGGTGCCCTGAATTCCTGGGCCTTGCAACCTTTCACACCCCATCAGCCTCACGCTGGGACTCAACAGCCCCGAACAGCTCATAGAGCTCACACACACTCTGAACACAGACCCACAAACAGCCCAGAGACCTCGCACTGCACACAGAATCAAAACAGCCAGGTGCCCGCCCATCTAAGGATGTGCCCTCCTCAGACCTGTCCAAGCCACACTGGGACCCCATGTCTCATACATAAACCCCTCAACATCTCAGACGCCTCAGGGGCTTCACACCCAGGGGACCCCAGGCACCTCCTGACAGCCTCTCCCTCTCACTTTGGCAGTGACGGGCAGTGAGGACATGTGTGTGCACTTCTTTGACGTGGAGCGGGCAGCCAAGGCCGCTGTCAACAAGCTGCAGGGCCACAGTGCACCTGTGCTTGACGTCAGCTTCAACTGCGACGAGAGCCTGTTGGCCTCCAGTGACGCCAGTGGCATGGTCATCGTCTGGAGGCGGGAGCAGAAGTAGGGTCCTGCCGCTGCCCACTGCCCCACTCCACCCTCAGCCTCATGTTGTAAATAAAGATTTTGTGGTTGTGCCGAGGGCCGGCTCCCAGGTCTGCCGGGGGCAGGGCGAGGGAGTGGGCAGCTCCAGGACCCAAGGTGGAATGTGGATCATTTACTCATTTGTGCATCAGTGTTTTCACTGTCGACAAGCATTTATTGAATGTCTCCTGTGTCATAGGCACCACCTTTAGTGTTTTACACAGTCATATATTTGACAGACATTAATGAGCACCAACTGTGTGCCAGTAACTGTTCTAGGCACTGGGGATCCAGCTGTGACCTAAACTGATGGAAATCCCTGTCCTTGTGGGGCTTGCATCCTAGTGGAGACAAGTAGACAATAGGCAAAATAGGCAATAGGTCACTAACAGTGAGTGATGCGAAGAAAAATAAAGTGAGGATGGGAGACAGTTGCAGGAGTGAGGGGGTGATGGGCTCTTTTTGGTAATATCACCAGGGAGGACATTCCTGACAGGGTGACATTTAAACAAGACCTGAATGAAGTGAGAGGGAGCCACAGTGTATGGGGTAGAAGAGAGAAAAGGCAGTGCAAAGGCCCTAGCGCTGTAGCATGCCAGAGGGATCATTGTATAGGCAGTAGTCTTGCTGGGCCAGAGTGTGACAATAGATGATGTAGGACAGACCAGGTGTTATAGGATTTTATGAGACACAGTGAAGACTTTGGCACTTTTTCTGAGTGTGGGGTGAGTCATGAGATGGGTTTAAGCAGAGAAGGGACATAGTCTGACTTGGTCATACAACCTTCCTCTAGCTGCTGTGAAGAGAGCAAACTGTAGGGGTGAGGGTAGAAGCAGGGGACCCAATTGGAGACCACTGCAAGAGCAGTGATGGGGACTTGAAACAGGCTGGCAGCAGTGGAGGAGCTGGGTAGGGAATGTTGGGTTTGACCCCAGGGGTTCATCATGTTAGACTGGAGGACTCTGCTGGCTCCTCAGGGGGGCTGAGGCTCCCAGACTCTCCCACATGGCAGCTCAAGCCCCACCCCTGTCTGTGCATTGGGTTGTTTCCAGCAAGCAGGGAGCAGAAGTGTTGAGTACTTGGTACAGGGGCAAGTAGGACTAAGGCTGAGCTGGGGAGTCCTGCTGTGGGGTGGCAGTGATAGGGAGTCTCTCTCCATTCCTCAGACCACCCCTGTCTTCTCCCATGCCCACCCAAGGCCCAAGTGCAAGCTCAGATACCAAGAAATAATGTTCAGTATTTTAGGGGAGCCCCAAGTGAGAAGCGAAAGCTTGGGTATTGACCAGGGATAAATAACCAAAATCTTTTGTCGACGGCCTGAGTCACCAGAACATGTCAAGGTTACCAGGAATGTCAAAGAGGCTCTTCCTTCAGCCCCTCCCTTTCCCCAATTGGAACTGCAGCTAACATCTTGGGACCTCAGGGTCTGTCCACAGAGTCACATCAACTCAACCTTATCCAACATTGTTGAGCTGCTGAACCCACACCAGCAGTCTTGGAGGAGGAAATAATCTTCTATTTGTTCAATACGTTATTATTTAACAAATATAATTTGTTATTATTTAACATTATTTGGGCTCCTTGAATCCAAAAGCATTTCTTTTTTTTTTTTTTTTGAGCCCCCAAACTCCTGGGTTCAAGCAATCCTCCTGCCTCAGCCCCCCAAGTAACTGGACTACAGGTGTGTGCCACCACGTCCAATTATTTTTTTCTGTTTTTAGTAGAAACGGGGTCTCGCTCTTTCTCAGGCTGGTCTTAGAACTCCTGAGCTCAAGCCATCCTCCCACCTCAGCCTCCCAGAGTGCTAGGATTACAGGTGTGAGCCACCATGTCTGGCCCCCAAAAGCATTTCTAACTGGTACTTCCATCTGACAGACCTTAGGGTAAATAGTGATGAGACAGGGGTATCAGTGGGCTGGATTGTTTGTGTGGTAAAGATATGTCTGTGTGTGTCAGGGTCCCCAAGGCTCAGTGATTTGCTAGGAAGACTCACAAGACTCAGCATGTGTGGCTTTCATTGGCTTTCTAAAAAAAAAAAAAAAAAAAAGACTCAGCATCTGGTTACTTTCATGCCTATGATTTATTACAGCAAAATCAATAGATTTTATTACAGAGCAAAGTCAACAAAGGGAAATGGTGCACGGAGCTGGAAAGTTCCAGGGAGACCAGGCACAGGTTTCCAAGGGTCCTCTCCCATCAGGGTCACACGAGTTGTGCTCAGTTGCCCCAGTAATGGTTTGTGACAACATGAGTGAAATGTTGCCAGGGAGGCTCAATTAGGGACTTGACACCCAGAGTTTTTATTAGGGGCTGGTCACATAGGTGCCCCCTGCCTGGCACATACCCAAATCCCGGACTCCTATAGGGAAAACGGGTGTTCAACATAAACTACATTGTTTGTACAAACAACTGAGGCACAGTGATCCACTCTTATCATTTAGGGAATGGTGGGATCCCACCCAAAATGTAAGTTCCCAGACACTAGCCAAGGGTCAACCTCGAAGTAGGCCTTTCAGAGGATATCAGTTCAGGCTTGCTGTGTGAACTCATTTCTGCACAATATGCAACACCAAATAGATTCCCAGTTTCAACCAAGGTCTGGATGGAAAGGTAATTTGGGGGATCCTCATTTGTCTCTAAGATTTTCTTTTCTTCATACTCTCCATGTTCTTTATTTCTGGACTCAAGGTGATTGATCATGAATATTGTGCATGATTTTGGGGGTTTCCTCCTTGTGAAATTTTGAGGTGGCAGAGTTGATGTTCTATTTTAAATTCATCTTGGTGATACTTTTCTTGACTCACAACCTAAGAGGAAATAAATTCATGAATGAGGTGCTATGGTGACAAAAGAAATAAAAATAATAAACAGAAAGAATGAGCAAATAATAAAGAATAAAAAGACAGTTATTGGTCAAACTTGAGCCTCTGTTAACTTTCCCATCATCACTGTGCCTCTGATTTGACATCAGATCTGGAGTTCTGTTAACCATTCCACCATCAGTGCCATTCTAGTCTTGCCTCAAATCCAGGCCTCCAGGAACTGTTCCATGCCTGACTCTGAACCTGTGTGTTTGTTATTAATAACTACTTCACCATCAAGAGTCTCTCTGGTCTGAGCCTGAAACTGGGCCTTGGTTAACTATTACCCCACCTGTGTACAACTGGTCAAATCTCAAACCAGGTCTTCTGCACAATATTCCACTAGCAGTTGTCTTTTGATCTGACCTTGAACTTGAACATCTAACTACTGTATTTTGTGATCTATGCCCTTTTGCTCTGTTCTGACCTCGAGGACCTTCAGTCCTGACCTTGAATTTGGGCCTTGGTTAATCATTCCACTATCAACACCCTTATGGTGTTAATTCCAACGTGTACCCCTATATTAATAGTTGTACCATTGATGCCCATGGGGTCCAAACTTAAGCCAAGGCCTCTGTTAACTAGCTACCATCACTGTTCCTTTGGTCTGACTGCAAATATGGGCATCTCTTAATGTTTCCTCCACCAATGCCTGTCTATTATGACCTCTCAGCCAGGTACTTTAAATTCTACCATCATCAGTGTCCATCTGCTCTACCCTCAAACCTGGGCCTCTCTTAATGCTTCCACTATCAAGACCCCCAGTTTTACTTGGAACTTAAGTCTTCTTTAAAATTTAATTTTTGAGACAGGGTCTTGCTCTGTCACCTGGGCTAGAGTGCATTGGCATCATCGTAGGCCACTGCAACCTCAAACTCCTGGGCTCAAGCAATTCTACTGCCTAAGCCTCCTGAGTAGTTGAGACTATAGACGCACACCACCACGCCTGGATAATTTTTCTATTTTTAGTGGAGATGGGTTCTCACTCTTGCTCAGGCTGGTCTCAAATTCCTGAGCTCAAGTGATCCTCCTGCCTTGGCCTCCCAGAGTGCTAGGATTACAGGCATGAGCCACCATGCCCAGCACTCATTTTTTATGGCTGAATAATATTCTATTGTGTATATGTACCGCATTTTCTTTATCCATTCAATCATTCATGGACACTTAAAACCTGAGTCTTTTTAACTCTTCCATCAGTTTATGCTGTCCTAAACTCTAACCTGGGACACTGTAATTCCACCATTGATAACTGCCAGTCCCTTGAATTCAGACCTCAGTTAATGCATTATCAGTACTTTTCAGGTCTCTGTTAACTTTTCCACACTCAATGCTTCCCTGGCCTGATCTCAATAAATTATTCCACTATTTATATCCCTCTGATCCTACCTCAAACCCTGGCCTCTATTTACTATTCCTCTATAATTGCCCCTGTGATCTGATCTTGAACCTTGGGCACTGGTCACACTTGAAGCATCAATTCCCTCTAGGCAGGCCTCAGACCCATGTATCTGTTAACTGTTCCATGATGGCCTCCACTCTATTGTGGAGCCAAGCTTCTGCAAACTATTCTACCATCAGTACCCCTCTGGTTTCATTTGGAAGTGAAATTCTGCTGGCTATTCCTTGGTCTGACCTTGAATCTGGGCCTCTGGTTAATATCCCACCATTACTGGCCTTCTGCTCTAATTGGACCTTTGTGAATTCTAGAACCACTGAGGCCTCTCTGGTCTGACCTTGAATTTAGACTCCATTAGCTTTGACTCTATCATCAAGATCCTCTTTGATCCTAATTCTCACGTGGGCATCTCTTAACTAATCCAACACCACAGGCCATTCATCAAACCAAAACCCAGAGTTTTTGTTAGCTATTCCACTGCAGGCTCCTCTGCCATGACCTTGAATCCAGACCTCTCTAAACTATTCCATCATCATCAGCCCCCTATCCTGACCATCAATTGAGAATTCTGTTAACTTCCAACATCAAGGTCCTCTGATGTGATTTTGAACTATTCTAACATCCCCACCTCTCTGGTTTGATCTCCTCTATTAACAATTACACCATCAGTGGCCTTATAGTCTGCCTCAAAAGACAGGGGTCTTTTAACTATTCTACCATAACTGCTCCTCTGGCATGGCCTTGAACCCAGGTCTTCATTTGATATTCTAGCTTAATGGCCCCTCTGATCTAAAATCAAACCCAGACCTCTGTTAATTCTTCATCCAAGAATGCCACATTGGTCATACCTGGGTTTCTTTTTA